GCCACGGAGAAGGTCGGGGAACCTGCGGGTTGGCAGGTCTGGGAGGCTGGTGCTGGGCAGCAGCTAGTGCCACTTTCTCTGTTCCATATTTCAGCCCTCCCAGAGCCAGAACTGAGCCCAGTGAGAGCATACCCTGGGGCAGCCTGGATTCCTGGGGGGTCCCCGGCAGCCACACGCAGTCATGCATTATCCAACTGCACTCCTCTTCCTCATCCTGGTCAGTGGGGCCCAGGCCTTTCGCATCTGCGCCTTCAACGCCCAGCGGCTGACACTGGCCAAGGTGGCCAGGGAGCAGGTGATGGACACCTTAGTTCGGGTAAGTTCATCACTTCAGGGAAGCTGTGCCCCTAAACACCATGACCCAAAGCCCCCAGCCCTGCCTGACCAGGAGTACGTTCTAGAGAAGAGGGGACAGGAAGAGATGTGGCACGGAGATGCAGCACAGGCACTTGCCTGCTGCTGGCCTCAGTCTCCTCCTCTGTGAAACAGGTGACGTGTGGGTGGGATGAGTCTTCTCCTGGGGCCTTTCCAGTCCCACTGCTTCTGCGGGCTGCAGCCAGCAAGCCTTAACACTCTTGGCCACAACAGTGCCAGTTCCCTGGGCCCACTGCCTCCTCTCAGGGCAGCTGGCACTGAGTCAGGCTGGCCTTCCTGGTGTCCTGCAGATCCTGGCTCGCTGTGACATCATGGTGCTGCAAGAGGTGGTGGACTCTTCCGGCAGCGCCATCCCCCTCCTGCTTCGAGAACTCAATCGGTGAGCAAGGCTCTGTGAGTCTAATCAGGGGCGCACCCAGAGCCTTGAGGCCCTGACTCTGCCTCCCCTTTTCTTGGCAGATTTGATGCCTCTGGGCCTTACAGCACCCTGAGCAGCCCCCAGCTGGGGCGCAGCACCTACGTGGAGACATACGTATACTTCTATCGGTGAGCACAGAGCTGGTGGCGCAGCAGGGCAGGGGGCGGGGAGGGGGCGGGCGCAGTCCTTGGCCCTAATGTGAAGTAGGCTCGTTAGTCCCCGGGGCCACAGGCCCCCCATCCTGGGACAGCCTCACCTGCTTAGCATACTTTTTCTTCTCAACACCTTTTATTCTGGACTCTTCCCATCCTCGACCCCCGCCAGAGTGTCCATAGAGCAAGAGGCCTTCCTTCTCTAAGCACAGATGTGGGGTCCCTCCTCCTCTCTCCTGTGGGAGCTCTTCTGCTGGGGCTCAGGGTGTGGCTGACCCCCTCTATGAAAGTGGCCAGCAAGGGCTGCAGCTCCTGGGAAGAGGCTCCGTGGGGACCCCTTATGGGCCTTGGGTAGACCCGATCTTCTAAGTCCCTGGGAGGACAGGCTGGCAGGGAGCCCTTTGGAATCAGGATCCAGAGGGCAAGGGAGGCTGCAGAGAAGGAGAACTGATTCTCTATGTAAATAAAATTATATGACATCTGGTATTTGCTCCAAAATAACTGGGTAGGCAGGATACAGTGGCTCATGCCTGTAATGCCAGTGCTTTGGGAGGCTGAAGCAGCAGGATCACTTGAACCCAGGAGTTCAAGGCTGCAGTGAGCTATGATTGTGCCACTGCACTCCAGCCTGGGCAACAGAGCGAGACCATGTCTCAAAAAAAATAAATAAAAAGAAAGGCCGGGTGTGGTGGCTCAAGCCTGTAATCCCAGCACTTTGGGAGGCCGAGACGGGTGGATCACGAGGTCAGGAGATCGAGACCATCCTGGCTAACCCGGTGAAACCCCGTCTCTACTAAAAAATACAAAAAACTAGCCAGGTGAGGTGGCGGGCACCTGTAGTCCCAGCTACTTGGGAGGCTGAGGCAGGAGAATGGCGTAAACCCGGGAGATGGAGCTTGCAGTGAGCTGAGATCCGGCCACTGCACTCCAGCCTGGGCGAGTGAGACTCCGTCTCAAAATATGAAATATCCAGAATAGGCAAATGTACAAGATAGAGAACAGATTAATGGTTACAGGGGCTGGCAGGAGGAGAGAACGGAGAGTAACTGGTAATGGATGTTATATTTTGATTAGGGGTAATGGATACCAATGTTTTAAAATTGATTGTAGCAATAGTTGCACAGACTTATGAATGTACAAAAAAACCATGTTGTATACCTGAAGCAGGTGAATTTTATGGCATATGAATTATGTCTGATGTTTTAAAGTTCTAGAGACAGGTTGGGAGGGCTGTGCCCACATTGCCGCTGTTAGTGGAGGGCCCCTCCCTGAGTGCCGTTTGGCACTTGCAAGCCAAAATCGGTGATGTGGGCCCACTGCTGCCCATCCCTTGGTCCTCCCAGGTCACACAAAACACAGGTCCTGAGTTCCTATGTGTACAACGACGAGGATGATGTCTTTGCCCGGGAGCCATTTGTGGCCCAGTTCTCTTTGCCCAGCGATGGTAGGGAGGGAAGAAGGGTGGGCTTGGTATGTGGGAGCAGAAGGGGGGTTCTTGCTGGCTCCACTGGGGGCTTCCTCACCCAGAGGGGCTGGGGGAGAAGGGCCAGGAGTGCATGGCAGCCCTCGGTCCCTGGGCCTTGCAGTCCTTCCCAGCCTGGTGTTGGTCCCGCTGCACACCACTCCTAAGGCCGTAGAGAAGGAGCTGAACGCCCTCTACCATGTGTTTCTGGAGGTCTCCCAGCAATGGCAGAGCAAGGTAGGCCCGGGCAGTTTGTACAGGAGGGACAAGGATAGGGTGGCCCAGCAGCCAGCCCGATGGCTGCTGTGTCTCTAGGATGTGATCCTGCTTGGGGACTTCAATGCTGACTGCGCTTCACTGACCAAAAAGCGCCTGGACAAGCTGGAGCTGCGAACTGAGCCAGGCTTCCACTGGGTGATTGCCGACGGGGAGGATACCACAGTGCGGGCCAGTACCCACTGTGCCTATGACCGCATTGTGCTGCATGGGGAGCGCTGCCGGAGCCTGCTGCACACTGCGGCTGCCTTTGACTTCCCCACGACCTTCCAGCTCACCGAGGAGGAGGTGAAGGGATGGGGCTGGCACAAGGAGGGAGGGCAGGAGCAGGGTCACAGGGAAGCCCCTCGGCCCCGGGCACTGACACTGCCCCACCACCCATTCCCAGGCCCTCAACATCAGTGACCACTACCCCGTGGAGGTGGAGCTGAAGTTGAGCCAGGCGCACAGTGTCCAGCCTCTCAGCCTTACTGTTCTGTTGCTGCTGTCACTCCTGTCCCCTCAACTGTGCCCTGCCGCCTGAGCCCCCCCACCCCCCGTGGCCTGCTGCCTTTTGGGACTTAAACCCCAGCCTCCCCCGTCCATCCAGCCCTGGGGCTGGGGGGCTTCAACTACAGTTGCCCTGTGACTGCAGTCCACCCCCACCTGCCTTTTGTTTGATTTGGCTCTTCTTCTTTGGTTGGGCTTGTGCCTAGATTAGGAGTGGAAGCCAGGGGCCCCGAGGCTGGACTCATGCCACCTGCCAGGTAGTGTAGTATCAGGAGTGGAGACAAAGTGGGCTCTGGGTTGGGGGAGGGGAAGGGAGGGCTCAGAAAGAGGAATCAAGATGTTATATGACAAAAAGGAAAGTTACTGAGAACAAAAATCCAGATTGGTGAGATGTGACACTTGTGCAGCAGATATGCCAATGGGCCATCTTTATTGTGGATTGGTAAGAATCACCAGGAAACCATTAAGCCCCAATAGCTACAAGGAGGGTGGTTAAGCCACTACATCAAACTCCTTCTCTGGAACCAGGAAACACCAAGACATGTTTCGGCTCATTGTAATCCGGTGAACAATGCAGTCAGGCCTGTTATAACTGCTGAGCAGTCATGCTCGCACCACTTGGGTGCTGTCGTCTGTGTTGGCACAGGCTTTTGCATGCCTGGTAAAGTCCAGCCAACGCTGGTGAAGGCCAACATCTGCACACAGAAAGTCTGCACCAGTTACGTACTAAAAAGTTGTGTGAACCCAGGTGCCCCGGGAAAGGGGCTGCAGGACACAGCAAAATGCCAGCAGTGTGCCAGACCCCTCCCTTGCATCCTCCTCTCCAAACAGAGCTCAGGAAAAACACTGACTGGGATGATAGAAAGGCCATGTGTTAACTATAATCACATTTATGGTTTGGAACCATCACCCCAAGGTAAAAAATAAATAAATAAAAGGTATTCTCAGGTATGTTTGGCAAAATAAAGGTAATTAAAAACCTTACAAATGGCTATAAATTGAGATTACAAAAGACCAGAGGCCTCTTGGGAGCCACAGGCTGGGGGCTGGGGCCAACATATTCCAGCTCTGGGACCAAAAGCCTTTGGAGTTCTGTCCCTGGATACAGATGCTCAGGCCACCCACCTAGCACACCTCTCAATTTTGCTACTCCCCCAAAAGCTAGCGCTGTTCTATCTAGCGATAGTTCAGGTCAGACATCTGGGATTCCCAGGTCAAACCATGCCACACGTGCCTGTTCTGAGGTCTTTTTGTTACAAAGGACCAAAGGTTAGCCCAGACCTTTGGTCAGGTGGTGAGGGCCCTGGGAATGCAGGCTCTCAGAGAGGTTAGTGCATGGGGCTCAGGAGATTGCTAGAGATAGGAAAAGTGCAAATCCCAGAATGATTCCCACCAAGGAGGACTGGCTAAACCAGATGGGTGAGACCACGCCCAATGCGATCCACACCTACCCTTGCTAAATAAATGCTGATGCTGGTCGGGGCACTGCTGGTCAGCCTCTAGCCCACAAGCCCCTCTTGGTTCCCATGTGTTGTAATAAGCAACACAACCGTAGGCTGACCCCAGCCTGGGATTGCAAGGCTTTGCTGCAGCTGTACTTCATGAAAAGCACTTCAATGCTTTTCAACCTACTGCCTAGGACCTGGGGAGGTCCAAGTCAAGCTCCAGAGTAGACAACTGACATAAGGCCACCAGTCCTAGCCCTTTGCAGGGTTTGCTGCCTCATGAGCAGGGCTGAGCTGTCAACCTGTTTCTGAAATGAAAGGGCAATGACCCAAAGGTTCCCAAAGGAAGTTCCTTCTCCCTCAAGAATGTAAATACAAAAACATAGGTGGACAGGAAGTAGAATTTATTGGTGAGTATTAAGTGGGGGCAGCATATTGGAAGCCCTCATGAGTGCAGGGCCCGCCATTTGTCCAGAGGACCACGATTGGGGATGTACTTGACCCCACAGCCATCTGGGATGAGCCGCTTTTCAGCCACCATGTCTTCAAATTCATCAGCATTGAATTTGGTGAAGCCCCACTTCTTTGAGATGTGGATCTAGGGAGCAATGGAAAGAATTGAGTCAGAAGGCCTGGGGCAAAGAAAGGTGGGAGAAGGGGGCTGCAGCATACGTACCTTCTGGCGGCCAGGAAACTTGAACTTGGCCCTGCGCAGGGCCTCAATCACATGCTCCTTGTTCTGCAGCTTGGTGCGGATGGACATGATAACTTGGCCAATGTGAACCCTGGCCACAGTGCCCTGGGGCTTTCCAAAAGCACCTCGCATGCCCGTTTGGAGCCTACATTGGGGTAATGCAAAGTTAGAAACATGAATGTCCATCGGAAAGGCCTGTCTCCAAGGTCCCTTAGAGCAACCCATACAACAAACAGGCTGCATACACTACCAAGGAAGCTGCTGTTTGCAGTCATTGCACACTGGGCCCCCATGAGGAAAGGAACTCAGTCGGCTTAATTGGCTGCAGAGCATCTCAAGAACCATGGAGGCGTCCTGCAAGGCACCACTGGGCTCCTCTACTAGCTTCAACTACCTGCTTGCTGGCAAGATGGTTGTCATCAAGCTAAAAGAAAAGCTACTCCCATCACAAGTGTTTCCCCTCACCTGTGGGAAACAGCTTACTTACTAAGACTTACTCATGCTTTGTTTGTATCCGCAACAGTACGTAGGAAAGGGTCCTGAGTGGCCACTGAAAATCACTTGCCAGCTGTGTCCTGGCTTTTCTAGTAGCCATAGTGGCTGAGTCACTGGGGCCAAGTACCTCTATGCTCCGTTGAATTAATGCAAGCCTAATAACGTAGAGACTCCAAGTTATGGGAAAACTGCCTTAAAAGGCCCAGACCAAGCTCACCTGTCGGCCCCAGCACAGGACAACATCTTGTTGATGCGGATGACGTGGAAGGGGTGGAGCCGCACCCGGATATGGAAGCCATCCTTGCCACAACTTTTTACCATGTACTTATTGGCACAAATTCGGGCAGCCTCCAGGGCTAGGTAGGGGGAAAGAAAGCACCAAAGTGAAATACGATAGTAGAGAAACATTCACCATGACCTTCTCCAGCTCAGGGGAAATGTGTTGGCTGGGTTTTGTAAAAAGGCTTATGTTTCATTAACTCCCAATTCCAGTGCAGTGTACATGGATGGGGTTGAGGGAGCAAAGACGAAGGACTGGGGGTGACGAACAAAGAATCCTGCCTTACCTTCAGAGGACAGCTGCTCATATTCATCTGACACCATGTGGCCACAGAGCGGAAACTCATCCACTTTTGCCTTCTTCCGCCCCAGGTCAAAGATGCGAATCTTGGCATCTAAAAAAGGATTGGGCAAGTGTGCAGGGGGTGTCACAGACGGACGCTGAGTCAGTAGAGCCAAGCCAGTGCAGGGGCCCTTCCACTACTTACCAGGGACACCTCGGCAGAAGCGAGACTTTGGGTACGGCTTGTTCTTACAATACCGGTAACTGCAGGGGAGTGAAAAAACACAGGTTAGGTGAGGTTCACATAAAGCCCAACAGGGACTTTGCCCCTCAAGGAACAACCCAAAAGAGGGACAGGAAAAGGGTGGGGAATGCACGTCCACTTCTAAACCGTTTGCATTTGGGGAAATAAACTACAAAGCAACACTTGGCTGCTGCAACACAGAGAACACCCAAAACTAGAAACACAACCGCCACCATCTTCCGTTACTTTGTCTTACGCTTCCTATAAACACTTCGCAACAAACTTTCCTGGTTAAAAATTATCTCTTCAAGACACTGCATACTACAAAATCGCCGCATTATCACTGCACAGCTCAGATCACCCAATTTAAGACTTTCGGGCACGTGGCACTAAATCCACCTCCGAGTCGAGTGGAAAGGCGTCTGGCGCCCCCTGTAGGACACAGGAGGCGGCCGCACCCGTTTTTCCCGGACTGCCCTTCAAGTCCGACAAGGCAGGCGGCACGTCGCCCGGAAATAAGACAGAGAACGCACACAAAGGCCCCAAGAGAGCATCGAGCGTCCGAAAATGCGGTGAGCTTACAGGACACAGGGAGAGATATATGAGGGAACAGTCGCTTCCACACCGACACGGGAACGAAGGAACAAACAGTAATATTGAAGACTAAAAAAGAACTGGGAGATGTAAAACATAGGATCAGTTCCCAAGACAAGGCCGCCGCACGGGGGACGCTCCACCCCACAGCTGTTTTCAGCGGCCACAGGCACTTCTTTCCCCTCCCGTTTCCCAGCAGTGAAAATACACCGAGTCAAGACTCACCAACGGGCGGGGCGGCGGCCCATGGCGACACCAGGATCTTCAGTGGCTGCAACGAGAGAGAGAGAGAGTCGGAACGGAAGACGAGAACAGACCTAAAAGGGGTGAGAACCAGCAATGGCACTGCAAGAGACTACAACCGCGCTTACTCACCGCGCCGAAGGGAAAGGGGCGCTCCCACGCCTGCGCATGCCTTATATAGGCGGTCTCTCTGCGCTCGTAAGAACCATAGAGTCCTGGCGAAGGCGGGTGGACGCTCTGTCAGACGTCATGACCATAGACGCAGCCGCTCTTAGCGCCTGCGCCCAGGCGTAGCCCAGCTTATGCGCAGATCAGAGAGGTGGCCGGGTACCGGGGCCGCGGGCGGCCAGCTGACGAATGGGGCTTCGCCACATGGTCGCGAGAAGCCCGCTTCCGGCTGGCCATCTTGGGCGTAGAACTCTTGCCCTAGGCTTTGCTCTTAACTGTGACAGACGTATATTTCTGAGAGGGGAAAAAGGAAAGCACCCTGGGTGGGCCTCCCGGCGACCGCGAGAGTGTCCCCGAGCTTGCGCGGGTCCCGGACATGCGCTCCCTGCCTCCTTCTAGGCTAGAGGCCCCGGCGGTGAAGCGCCTTATAGGGACCTGGGCCCGCGTTCCTTTGTCAACCCGGGAGGCCGGAGCGGGAGACCCATTCCCCTACCGGAGAAGCTGGACCAGGCCTTGCTGGGAGCCATGCCCCGTATCCCCGTTTCCTGGAGACCCAGAATTCGCACATTGCCGCGGGGAAGAGGTCGAGGAGAAGTCTCCACAGAGATTCATGGCCTGGGAGACCCGGGGGCATCACTGGCCCCGCTCCGCCCACCCTGACCCGCACCGTCCTGGCCAACTGCGTCTCGGGCGCCGCCTCCCATGAGCCGCTCTCGCCTGGGCACTACCTCGCCTCGCCCTTCCCACTCCACTGTGCGCAGAGTGCCTCGGGGCCCGTCTAGGGGTCGTGGGGAAGCAGGGCCGCCCCAACCCGCCCACGGAGCAGCATCCAGGGAGAGGTGCGCAGAGCGGGCGGGCGTCCTGGGGGAAGTGGCGTCTGTAGGTGTCTGTCCACCATCTGCAGGTGGGGCGCGGTGGGGTAACTTCCCGTCCTTTGACAGGAAGGACAGGAGGGAATCCTGCTTGAGCGCACCTGTTTTCCAGCATGACATGTCGTTTTTACAAATGACTTCAGGTCCCTTTGAGAAAAGCTTGGGACGATTTCTGGGGTGCACTTGCAACAACAGTGCAGGGTCCTTCCCAGGGGAAGGTAGCCTCCCTTTCCATCATGGGACTTTGGATCCCGGCGGTGACTTAGTCTGTAACTGGGTTCCAGGCTGTAACACCACTGGGGCAATACAAGTCAAGGATTGCGGCGGGGCGCGGTGGCTCACGCCTGTAATCCCAGCACTTTGAGGGGCGGAGGTGGGCGGACACCCCACCTCCAGCCTGGACAACATGGGGAAAAACTGCCTCTACAAAAATTAAAAATTGGCCAGGCGCAGTGGCTCACGCCTGTAATCCCAGCACTCTGGGAGGCCAAGGTGGGCGGATCACGAGGTCAGCAGTTTGAGACTAGCCTGGCCAATATGGTGTAACCTCGTCTCTATTAAAAATACAAAAATTAGCCAGGCATGGTGGCGGGGGCATGTAATCCCAGCTGCTCCGGAGACTCAGGCAGAGAATCACTTGAACCCGGGAGGCAGAGGTTGCAGTGAGCCAAGACCGTGCCATTGCACTCCAGCCTGGGCAACAAAGCAAGACTCCGTATCAAAGAAAAAAAAATTAAAAATTAGGCAGGCGTGGCAGCACATTCTAATCCCAGCTGAGGTGGGAGGATCGCTTGAGCTCAGGAAGCAGAGATTGCAGTGAGCTGAGATCGCACCACTGCACTCCAGCCCGGGCAACAGAGCAAGACTCTGTCTCAAAAAAAGTCATGTATGGCCAGGCACGGTGGCTCACGCCTGTAAACCCAGCACTTTAGGAGGGTGAGGCGGGCGGATTACCTGAGGTCAGAAGTTCGAGACCAGCCTGGCCAACATGGTGAAACCCCGTCTCTACTAAAAATATAAAAATAAGCCGGGTGTAGTGGCACACAACTGTAATTCCAGCTACTCGGGAGGCTGAGGCAGAAGAATTGCTTGAGCCTGGGAGACAGAGGTTGCAGTGAGCTGAGATCATGCCACTGCACTCTAGCCTGGTCTACAGAGAGAAACTATCTCAGAAAAAAAAAAAAAAAAAAAAAAATTCTGCCTACAGGGCGGGTGCAGTGGCTCACACCTATAATCCCAGCACTTTGGGAGGCTGAGGTGGGTGGATCAGTTGAGGTCAGGAGTTGGAGACCAGCCTGGCCAACGTGGTGAAACCCCGTCTCTACTAAAAATACAAAAAATTAGCTGGGCATGGTGGCGCATGCCTGTAATCTCAGCTACTCGGGGGGCTGAGGCAGGAGAATTGCTTGAACCCCGGAGGCAGAGGTTGCAATGAGCCAAGATCACACCACTGTACTCCAGCCTGGGACCACAGAGCAAGACTCCTCTGTCTCGGAAAAAAAGAAAAACAAAAAAGAAATTCCACCTACAGTCTCCTCACTCTCTAGTGGGTGTTAAAATGAACTTTCCGTAGCCACTTTGGGCAGAGGGAGGATACAGTCTAATCCTGCATGCCCTAGAAGGTCATGCAGGCTGTTCTCTGCACAAGGACACCTTCCTGGGGAGTGAGAGGGCTGAAATCCCTCCCGTGTCCTCGCCTCCAGCTGACTACCTGCCTGGAGAGTGGAGTGCCTCTTGCTGATCCGCACACAAGCCTGCAGGGGCGGGTGGGGGCCCTGGAGCCCAGACAGGCACCAAGCAATCTTGCAGCCCTACACGGTGAGGACAGGGGAACTGGCGGAGTTCCATCTGTTGGCTCCTCTCCCTCCTGACCTTCCCATGGGAATCCTTCCATGAACCGTTGGCACAAAGAAATTGAAGTGGGTTTCTCCATTGCTACCCTCACCATCTAGGACTCCACTGTCCTTTTTTTTTCTGAGACGGAGTTTGGCTCTTGTTGCCCAGGCTGGAGTGCAATGCCGCTATCTCGGCCCACGTAAAGGGCATGGTGGCGTGTACCTTTAGTCCCAGCTACTCGGTAGGCTGAGGTGGGAGAACTGCTTAAACCCAGGAGGTGAATGTTGCAGTGAGCCGAGATTGTGCCACTGCACTCTAGCCTGGGTGACAGAGTGAGACTCTATCTCAAAAACAAAGAAGTTGAAATTATAAAAAAGCTTAAAAAAAATCACTACAAAATGTGTAGCACAATGGTTTTTTTTTTTTTTTTTTTTTTGAGACGGAGTCTCACTGTGTCACCCAGGCTAGAGTGCAGTGGTGCAATCTCGGCTTGCTGCAACCTCCGCCTCCTGGGTTCAAGTGATTCTTCTACCTCAGCCTCCCGAGTAGCTGGGACGACAGGCACATGCCACCACACCCAGCTAATTTTTGTATTTTTAGTAGAAACGAGGTTTCACCATATTGGCCAGTTTGGTCTCGAACTCCTGACCTCGTGATCCACCCGCCTCAGCCTCAGAAAGCGCTGGGATTACAGGCGTGAGACACCGCGCCCGGCCAGATTATGGGCCTTAAATTGTTTAACTATGTGGGTGATTGCACAGAAGAATAGTATAAATAACTTTATACATGGGATAACTTGCTTCAAGTTGTTTCAAAAACCGTTTTTTTGTTTTTGTTTTTGAGACAGAATCTTGCTCTATCACCCAGGCTGGAGTGCCATGGTGCCATCCTGGCTCAGTGCAACCTCTGCCTCCTGGGTTCAAGCGATTCTCCTGCCTCAGCCTTGTGAGTAGTTGGGATTATAGGCGAGGGCACCACCACGCCGACTAATTGTGTTATTTTATTAGAGACGGGGTTGCACTATGTTGGTCAGGCTGGTCTCGAACTCCTGACCTCAAACGATCCACCAGCCTCGGCCTCCCAAAGTGCTGGGATCACAGGTGTGAGCCACCGCGTCCGGCCTCAAAAACCTCTCAATGATTCGCTTGAATATGTGTAAAGTGATGCACAGGCCACCCTGAAGACTCTGGTGGTTTCTACTGAAACTACACATCAGGCCAGGTGCGGTGGCCAGTGCCCAGTGCCCAGAATCCCAGCAAATCCCAGCACTTTGGGAGGCTGAGGTGGATCACCTGAGCCCAGGAATCCCAGACCAGCCTGAGCGACAAAGCGAGACCCATCTCTACAAAAAGTAAAAAATTAGGTGGACGTGGTGGTGGCGTGCGCCTGTAGTCCCAGCTACATGGAAGGCTGAGGCCGGAGGCTGAAGCCCTCGCTAGGGTGGAGAGGTCAAGGCTGTAGATGAGCCCTCATCGCGCCACTGCACTCCAGACTGGGCGACAGAGTGAGACCCTGCCTCAAAAAAAAAAAAAAAGAAGAAAGAAGAAGGAAGAAGGAAGAAGGAAGGAAGGAAGAAGGAAGGAAAGAGAGAAGAAGAAGAAGAAGAAGAGAAGAAGAAGAAGAAGAAGAAGAAGAAGAAGGAGGAAGAAGGAAGAAGGAAGAAAGAAGAAAGAAGAAAGAAGAAAGAAGAAAGAAGACAACATTACAAATAAAGCTATACATCCACTTCTGCACTTCTGCGTGGACTCGAGCGTTCAAGACAGGCGTGGCAACCCGATGACAGGAAACCCTGTAAGTTCGTGCTCCCAGGAGGCTCTTCCGTAAGGGCCACCAGCCACGGGAAACCACGACCTTGTCCCTCACCAGGAAAAGCTCAGCCTGTGGCTCCGCGAGCGTGGACCGTTCCGTGGCCATGAGCGAGAAGAACCACGGACCCCCGCCAAGAGCTGGGATGGATCTCACGGGCGGGAGGCGGAGGGTACTCGGCCCACCCCAGCGGAGGGCAGCGTGTGGGTCCGTTGAGATAACGCTCCGCGGACTCGATGACTCCTGGAGCAGAGCCCTGGCCGCGCTGCACCGCGGGAGGGAGGAGCTGCGTCTACTGCGGGGCCATGAGAGGGAGGAGCCGGTCTGGGGATGGGGGCGGGGGGGCAGAGACTGGAACCCGCGCAAGCGCGGAAATGCCCACGGCCGCGCCCTCCCGCGCGAACCGCGGCGACACCCGGGCCGCCCTCGGAGGGCACGGATGTCGCGCCGCGCTCCCGGGGTGCTTCAGTTGCGCCCACGGCCGACGCCCGGCAGCGGCGGGCAGGTGCCACGACCTCTGGACGTTTCTCGCCCCTTCTCGGGAATGGAACGCTTAGAGAAGCGCAGGTCCGCACCCAAAACACAAGGCGGCACTGTTGCGTGTGCACCGACGACTCTGCGGCCAGCGCCCCGGCTCTCTTCCCGGGAACGCTTAGGAGCCAGAGAGCGCCGCGCCGCGCCACGCCACGCCCGGCAGGGCCGCAGCAGCGCGCACGCGACAGGGTGTCGTCCATTGGGCAGCAGGAGCGTCCGCCAAGGGCGAGGGGCGGGAATTCCGTGCAATCTGAGCACGGTCATTGGCGAGGACAGGCGAAGAGGAGGCTGGATAGGCGGGTCGGGGCGGAGCTTCCTGTGGGCGCCTGGAGCCTCCGGGGAGCGACCGAGGCGGAGGTGGGGAGCGAGGCAGCTGTGGGCTCCGGCGGGCAGAGACTAGGTCTGTCCCTCCACGCCCCGCCCCGCCCCGTCCCGCCCCGCCCCACCCCACCCCGCCGCCGCCGCCGCCGCCGCCGCCTCGGCATCGCCTTCCGAGCCTCCCAGTCCTGGGCCGGCCCTGCGGGGCATGCGCCGAGTCCCCTTCCCGTGCAGACCGGCGGTCACTGTCCTCCCCCGGGGACGAGGCGGACAGGCGTCCCCCGAGATCAGGGCCCGGGAAGCCCCGTGAGCCGCTCTCGCCTGGGCGCCGTCGAGGGGCCGCCCCGCCCTTCCCACTCCACTGTGCTCCGAAAGTGCTTCGGGGCGCGTCTGGGGAGTCGTGGGGAAGCAGGGCCGTCCCCACCCGTCCACCCGGCAGCGTCCAGGGATAGGTGGGCAGAGCGGGCGGGCGGGCGGGCGGGCGTCCTGGGGGAAGCGGCGTCTGGAGGTGTCTGTGCAGCGTTCCGCGGTGGCGCGCGGTGGGGGTAACAAAGTCTTGCCCGTCCCTTGACAGCGGTGGCCGCCGGGGAGGGAATCCTGCTCTGCTGCGGGCGGTCGTGGGCTGGGGCGCTTCCTGGCCTGTCTCCTGGGGGAGGTAGGAAAGGTGAGCCCCGCAGAGAAGACGGTGGTGGCCAACAGGAGCCATCCCTCGACGTGGGTGCCAACAGGAGCCATCCCTTCAACCGGTCTTCCCGCGGGAGGGTGCCTGGCTGGGAACACCCGCAGGGCTGGTTCCAGCACCCATGGGACCGCTGGGTCCAGCCCAGTGTGTGTCCGGGGAAGACCCGCCTTACCCGCCAACCTTCCCGCACCGGGAGGGTTCCCAGCTGCTGGTGATGCTGCTCAGGCGGCTCCCCACAGCGCCACCACCCACCCCCGGAGCCGGCCGCTGGGTTTGACCCGTCCGCCCGGGTTCCTCTTTGCTGGGCTCCGAGGCCTGGCGGGACTTCCAGTCTCCTCGGTGGCTCTGGCGACCCAGCATCCCTTTGCCCTGGGGTCAGACGGACTCCCAAGGAATTGCGTCCCGGTGGAGAAGACGCTTCCTTCCCTCTCCCTTCCTCTCCTCCGCCCCCTTTTGCTCTCTTGTCCTTGCACTTTGCCTTGTCCGTGTGTCCAGCTCTGTGTGTGTGTGTGTGTGTGACTGACGCGAGCCCTTAGTCACCTCTTGCTACTATTTTTTCCCCATGTTATCACTTGTCTCTTGACTGTGCGGTTTGCGGGTTGTGCTTGGTCACACAGGGGATTTCAGTTTTCGTGTCATCAGAATCTCCAGGCTTTCCTGATGGCTTCTGGGGGTTCTTGTCGGTTTGTTTCCTTCTGGCTCACGCTGTGTCTTGCCCCCTGGACGCTGAGCACCAGTTCCGACTGCTGGGTAACAGACGACTCCACGTTTCGGTCCTTCCCCACCTAGCGCTCCTCTCACCCCCCAGGGTTCTGAGGGACAGGCTCTGGGAGGGCTCTCGGGGAGCCAGGACTGTGGCTCAGGGTCCCTCTCAGGCTGCGGTCAGGTGTCCACTGGGGCCCAGTCATCCTATCTGACTGGGTGGGGAGCCCTCGTGATGATTCTCCCTCTGGAGGCTGCGGCAGGAGACCTCAGTTGCTCCCCACCTGGCCTTCTCCCAGGACTGCTCGGCTTTCCCCGGACCTGCAATCCAATCGAACCAGCAGGAGAGGGCGCCCTAGACCTGGCCACACACTCTTTATGACCTGGCCTCCTAAGTGACTCGCCTCACCTCCGCTGTGGTTTTTATTGGTCTCACAGGTCCACCCTGGAACGTGCTGGAGAGGGCGCCACGCTCAGGGTGGAGGCTGTTCCTGAGTGCTGCAAGTCAGAAGCGCCCTTGGCGCCTGTAGAGCTGTGTGGGCTGCTGGAGACCCCAAGCGGGCCGCCTCAGGAACGTGTCCTTGGTGTCAGCGGGAGCAGCAGGCCACCTCCTGGGGCTGACACTGGCCGAGGTCTGCATTTCTGAGGGCGGGGCGTGCTTTGACATCCTGAAAGGGTTGCAAAACCCATCACAGAGAACCCCAAGAAGGGAGACTCTGCCCCCAAGACCCAGTGTGCCCCGCAGGGTCTGTGCTGTGTGCTCGCTGGCTCTTCATGGAAGCCTTTCCCAGCCCGGGTCGGGGACCCCTGGTCCAACATCCCCAGGAGCCGGCGGGAAGCCCGTTCTGGTCACCACAGCCCCTTTTGCATGGCATGAGTGCCCCATGCCAGCCTGCATGGCATGTGCCTCCCACTTCCAATGCCCTCCTCCCAGGGGCTCATTCCCTGCCCCCAAGTGGGGTGACCTCTCTCTGCAGACAGGGGAGGCCTGTCCTCCCGGCATGCAGCCCTGAAAGGAGAGGGGCCGGGGCAGGGAGGGGGTGTGCCGCGCCATCGTGGTGAAGGCAGAGCAGCTCCTTTGTTCCGTGATGTGTCAGGTTGCCGGATACTGGGCTCCAGGCTCCAGGGGCAGTCCCTGGCCTGGGGGGTGGGATGTGGAGTGCCAGGTGGGTCCCGGAAGGAGCTTTCCACTGGGGCCCCAGGAGGTTGCCCCATCCTTCCCACTGGGACTGGCAGGTGACTTCCTGATGACGCTCTCCGTGGCTCTGAATTTGTCACAGAGGTTCCGTGGGCGATGAGTGCTTTTCCTGTTGGCCGGTGCCGCCTCTGGGCAATGCAGGGACCCTTGATGACAGCTCCTGACCCCTTCCAAAGCCGCCTGGCCCTCCTTGAACCCGACGAGAGCAGGTTGCCGGGCCTTCCCTGAGGAATGTGTTCCTGGCAGGTGGGGACAGCCCCTCCCCCAGGGTGTTGGGTACAGGATCCTGGGGTGCCTCAGGACACGGTCAGGCCCACTGAACCCCCACACTCCTGGGCCACCTGCCCGCTGGCTGTCCTCTGTGACCCTGTCTCCCCTGAGCCAAGGTGCCCGGCCTGGTCCCCCGGGAAGAACAGTGAGGAGGTCTGGCTCTCCCTGCCATGGGGGCCTCGGGGGCCTGGACGGGGACGGTGTCCTCCCTCCCCAGGCTGCCCAGCGCCCTCGCTCAGGGAGTGCTCTCCTAGCGGCCTGTTCGGCAGACGGGCACAGTCACGACAGCAGCCAGACCCTGTCCCGGCCCATGCACCCACCTGGACAGATCGGCGCCCTCCTAGACTTACTGGCTCCATTGAGGGTCCCAAAGGGGCTGCCCCAGAGCACCCTGGGGTCTCCAGACCCCTCGGCCCACAGCAGCTACCAGCAGCCCAGGCAGGACCCAGGGGCTTCCGGGCACAGAGGCGCCGCTCCCTGGCTTGTGAGCCTGGGGCCTCTCCAGCCGTCCCCTGTCGGGGGGGCCTCCACTCCTGCTCTGGATCAAGGTCCTGCCCTCAGGGAGAGCTGGTGCCTTCGGGGGACCGGGCCCTGGTTGCAGTTGGAGAGTGCATCCAGGGATGGTGCTCTTCTTGGCTGCCGCCCTGCCTCCCAGGGGCCTCCCCAGACACCCGGCTGCTGTCAGCTGGGGCTGGGGGGTCCTCTGGCCTAGGGGTCATCCCAGTTTGGGAGTGCCCTTCCCTGGACACTGTGTCCAAGAAGGATACATGCTCGCCCTTTGTTGGGGGCCAGGCACAGGGTGAGGGGACACTCGGCCCCACCACCCCTGTCTCCGGGAGCCCTGGCTGGGTACGGTGCCTCTTCTGAGAGATCCTGCCCGGGACTGGTGCCGCCTGCCTCCCGCACAGTTGGGGACCCTGGCCGGGCACCTCCTGCCAGCCCCCTGCTTCTGTCCTAGCCTCAGCCGGGCCCTGCAAGCTGTCCATGTGCCTGTGACACCCGGTCCCTCTGCGGATGTTTGCAAACACCCCTGCCCCCACAGTGATGTCTGGGGGCCTCTCTGGGCCTTTGTGTGCCGAGTTGAGGGTGGGTGGTGGTGGGGGGGTCTTTCCATAGTTGCCTACTTCCTGTCCTCCTCGGCCCCAGGTCCAGGGGTGCCCTGCCTGCTCAGTTTCCAGCCTGAGCCCTTCCTTGAGCTGGCCCAGTCCCCTAAGCTTCTGCAGCAGGTTCCCAGATCCACCCGAGGGACTCCTGGCCAGTGTTCCCAGTGGTGTCTGAGTGCTAGACTCAGTCCCTGGCCATAGATTTCGGGGAACCCCGCTCTGAGGGGCCATTGCTTCTGTTTCCTCTCCAGGTCCCCTCCCAGTTGCCTCGGAGAGCGAGGATGGGGCTGTCGGGAGGCAGAAGGGAGGGTTGGGGTGCAGAGGTGTGGCTTAGGGGAGGGAAAGTCAACTGGGCTACCGCCCCTCCCTGCCCTCCCTGGACTCAGTCCAGACATAACCTGCGGGTTGGAGGCCTGTGCACCCTTTATCTCCTAGTAGCCTGGCAGGTCCTCCTGGGTCTTCCTCAGTGTGGCTGGGTCCCCAGACCATAGGCCCCAGCAGGGTAGGGGCCCGTGCTCTGCTCTTGTTTTTGCTCCTACTTGCCCGCCCTTCCCGGGGAGGCCGCTGGCCACGACCATGCCAATCTCTTTCCCTGCTGCCTGCCTGCCTGGGTGGCCTCCAGCTCACCGCCCTGTGAGGCCTGTGGCCTCCCGCCAGGGCTGTCCTCAGGGGCCTGGATCCCCCTAGTTTATCTACCGCCCTTGCTGCCCCACATGTGTCCCTGCAGCCTGGGGATGATCCGGAGGGTTGGGGGATCGGTGCCCTTGGTTCACCCAGCCCAGCCCTAGGGCGGTTACCCCGGTGGCCCTGCCAGGCATGGGGCTTGGGAGAGGATACGATGGAGCCGGCACAGGGAGGGGGCAGGAGACTCTGGGTGACTCGGGGCAGGAGGGGGTGCCCCAGAGGTTCAGAATCCTGGGCACACAGTGGGCTGAGCGGACAAGTCGCAGCCTCAGGGGGACCTCCCGTCCTCCCCACTGGCACTGGATCTTTCTGGGCCTGGCTCTGCTGCCTCCCACCCCCATTCAGCTGGTGGCTTCTAGATGCTTCCAGAGTGTGCTTGGCCCCTTTGCCTCTATGCCATTGGGCCCAGGGGGAGCAGTAGAGTGGCTGGGGCTGGGGGTGGGACTTCCCCTTTCTGTGTCTTGCTTGCCCCGTGTCTCTCAGTGAGTGGCCGCCCTGAGCCTGGGGCCAGCAGCCCAGCCCCAGTGAGAAATAAAAGTAGCCATCCTGCCTGAGCTGCCGCTGCCTTTTCTACTCTGCCTTCTCAACAGGAGTCAAGGAGGGAACGCATGGTGTTGAGGTCTCAGAAGGCCTGGGTTTGATGTGTGCCATGGCTGCAGGCTATGGCCTGGTCCTCTCCTTCCCCTTGCTCATGTGCCTGGCCTTGAGCTGTGGGCTCTGGGGTCATGGGGACCCGTAGGGCTTCGTGTCAGATGCTGTGGAGCTGAGGGAGGATGTGGCAAGAAAGCTGAGTGTTGTCCCTGAGAGCCTTGCTTCCTGGCCCTTGTCTGCAGATGTCTGAGGTGGTGGTGTGCTTGTCAGGGGTTTGATCTGGGCCAAAGCCACCTGAAGCCTTTGGCCTGCGGAGCAGGCAACTTTGTGTGCTGCAGTTGGCACGTCCCAAGAGCATGCAGGCAGCACTAGGAGCCAGGACGACTTGGGATGTTGTGTGTTTGGGAGCAGTCTTTACAGTGGGAGAACATAGGTTAGTGTGGGAATCCACGGCAGGGGTACCAATGAGGAGATACTCAGCAGGGGCCCCAGGGTACCTGGGATTGGCACTTAGAATGCATCCACCTACTGCCACCTGTAAAGGGCCCTGTACCGAGCCTGGGGGAGGGGGCCTCATCCCAATCCCTTGTTCAGGGGAATGGTGGCATGTTCAAGTTACCTGGCAGATGGCCAGGGCCTGCTGTGATTTTGAGGACTGCTTAGAGGGCTCTTGACTATCTGGCCACCTCCACCAGGGAGCCTTCCTGACATCACCCTACCCAGTAATGGGCTCTCCTCCCCAGCTTTTTGCCTCCTTTGCAGCCTGGGCTCCATTCCACGTTGCTACATGTCCCTCTCCTTGCGTTGGCTCGAACTCAGGGAGGCAGAGGAAGCAAGTATAGATGGAGCCTTCTGGAGTCAGGGTGGGGTGAAGCAGGAGCCCTGGAGGGAGGTGACCTGTGGTTGGCCCACGCTTTGATATGCTCATTGGTACCCCTGTCAGGTTGGCCTTGACTGGTCCCCCAACCCCAACAAAGCTACAGCCACCCACAGGAGAATGGAAGCAAAACTTTATTCCTCTTGGCTGGAGAAGAGAAGTAGTGGGTGGTCGTGTACAGGACCCCCATCCCTCACCCCTCCCAGAACCAAAGAAGACAAGCAGCGCCACCAAATGGCTCCCTCTGCCCAAGTGAAAGCCGAGAGGTCAGCGGCTGGCTGGGGAGGCAGGTGAGCGCAGCACGGCACAGGGCAGGGGCGGCTGCAGTGACAGGCAGGCGGCCAAGGTGGCCCAGGGGCCAGGGCTGAGGGGAGGAGGGCGGGGCTGCTTGGATAGTGGGGCAGGCTTGGGGGCTGCCGGCTGGCACTGACCCCAGACTCAGGGCACCACAACGCGGTAGGGGCTGCCTGGGATGTGCTCGTCGCCCCACTTGACCACCAGTGTGTACTCCCCCTTGTCCTTGAGCAGGTAGGACACGCTGTAGAGCCGGCTGCCCACGTGCTTCACCAGGATCTCCTCGCAGGGGGTCCTTGGGCCATGAACCCCCACCAGCAGCATGTTGTTGCCTGAGGCAAGAGGGGTCCTCAGTCACAGGTCCCAGCCCCCTTCCTCCCGCTGGTGTCCTCTCTCCTCTCCTGTCCCTAGCCAGTTCTGGGGTGACGGTTCTCTCTTGCTAAAGAGCTGCCAGCACCTCCCCAACCCAGGCTGGCTTAGCAGATTCCAGTTCCTCCCTGGCCTTTGTTTGAGGGTCCAGGAGGTGGCTCTAGAAGTGACAGCCATACCCCAAAGGTGGTCCCCCCTCTCTCAGATACTGGCCGTCCTGTGATTTCTGGCCTCATTTTGGTGGGAAGGTGGGCCGGGGGCCCGAGTTTGCCCACCTGCTTTGCTGCAGTCTACCGTGAAGCTGCTCTTCTGGCCTATGTAGGCCTTGCTCAGTCCCAGGCCCTTGGCCACCACCTTGGCGGCGTCAGCAGGCCCAGGACCCGGAGCCCCATGCTGAGGGGCGCAGGTGGCCTTGGTCAGAGAGTCTACAAATACTGATGATGTCTCGTGGAGGCTGTGGTTGCTGACGAGACGGGGGCCTGCAGGGCAGAGTGGGTGGGGCTAAGAGGTGGCCATGGTGCCAGGCATTGGGCAGGTACCAACAGCTTGGCCCCAGGCTTACCTGTGACTTTGGCCTTGAAGGGGCTGCCCCCAATGTGATAGGGGCCACCATACTTGATGGAGATGAGGTAGCTGCCAGGTGCCATGGGGGTATAGGTGACACGGTAGCCCTCAGGGCACTCCTGGCAATCCATCTTCACCTTGGAGGGGCCATCAATGGTCACCGACAGGGCACCAGCTCCTGCATTGCTCGTGTTCACGATGAACTCAGCTGGGCTCCCTGGCAGCACAGGAGGTCAGGCAGAGCCAGACTGGTCTGCCTCCCTGTCCTCAGCCACCCAGCACAGGCTTGTCACCTCCAGATGCCTCCCGTTGTCACCAAGAGCTTGGAGGCAGGGGTCTAACAGCTGCATGCACACCTGCAGCCGCACCCACAGACTTACCTGTGACACCGCCTTCCAGGCCTGCTCCGTAAGCAGACACCAAGCCTGGGTCCCCTCCATGACCGGGCTCCCCAACTCGGATCTTGAAGGGGCTTCCAGGGATGTGGGTGCCATTGAACTTGACGTCAATCAGGTAAACGCCATTCTCCCGAGGGATGAAGCGCACAGCATATTTATCTGAGGAGCAGGGAGCCATGCTGTGGGCCTGGGGCTCCTCCTCAAACCAGCAAATGGTGTCTGAGGAATAGCCTCAACCCTGGCCCTACCCGTTTTGCTGGTCCATCAGTGTGAGCCCAGCCATGCTGGGCACCTGCACCCTGCAGCAGACCTCCCGAGGGCCGAAGCTTTAGACACTCAAGCTGCCCACTGCCAGGGTGCATTGGGACAGAAATCTTTTACAAGCCAAACCCAGGCCTCGCTGCCTCCTAAGAAAGGTTACCGTGAACAACATATCCCCTGCATGTTAACGGGCTCAGAGACAGGCAGGAACTTGCTTCAGGTCACGCAGCTGGGAAGGGCAGGACTAGGCTGTGAAATGAAGCCCACTGGGCTCCTCTTACCCCCAAGGTTGCCCCAGGCCTGTGCACAAGTACCATGGCCATGGCTAAAGGGCCGAGCAGCACTGAGGCTGGACTTTGAGTCTTTGCCTGTGGCGACAGCATGGTACTTCAGGGTAGAAGGCCTTCCTAACAGCCATGGGCGGCGAGCCACATTCACAATGGCTTGGGTCACCAATTGGGAAAGGGTTGCTTGGCTTAGGGGGGCCAGGAGATGGGGCCCCGTCTTGGCTGCTTACAGAAGCGGTACCTTCCTTTTGTACTCTCAGCCTGCTTCCAACCAGCAGGGCAGGGCGGCCGGGCGGGGACAGGGCCTCACCTTGGTCAATTTCTGTGACATAGCACTCCTCCAGGGCTCCTGAGGGGCTGTGCACCTTGGCATCGATTGCCCCCTTGGCCCCATTCAGGCTGACTGCAAAAGAGGCTGGCTGGTTGACCTTTAGCCCTGACTCCTGGAAGCACAGCAGACATGGTTAGATGGGGGGCTTGGGCCAGGGCAAGGGCAAGGGAGAAAGGAAAGGCCCCAGGAGCAGGAGGCCCGCGGGTTGCACTTACCCATCTGGCGTCCAACTTGGTTTAAAGAGGGAGAGCCACTGATTTGCAAGGGGCAGGAAGCCACAGGCACACATCCCCACGCCTGCCCCCACACTCTGCCATCGCACACACCCAGGTGGCAGGAAGGGAGGGCGGCCCCACCCTGTGGGCAGCACCCAGCCTTGGCAGGCTGTCCCTCTTTAAACCACAGCCCTGGTGCTCAAGGGGCACAGGCTTCTGTTCAAAGCCTTTAGACCTGAGACACGAGAAAAACTCCACGTGGTGGGCAGGATATTTCCTGCCAACCCCAAGCGTGGGCTGCACCCGGCCAGAGCAGAGGCCTGGAACCCAGAGCTGGGCCAGGGGGTCACTGGACACAGGGCCGAGGCCTGCTCTCTGCGGTAGCTCTGGTCTGTCCGGGCCCAGGAGCCGCAGGTGGGCGGTTTCTCTCAGTGCCTCACCTGAAGGCTAGAAACAGTGAGGCGGCGGGCATCGCCAGACGGAGAAGCCACAGGCACCACGAAGGGGCTGTCGGGAATGTGTTCCTCGTTGAACTTGACTGAGACTTCGTAGTCACCTGGGCAGGGAAAGAGCGTAAGACCGGTTCATCAGCCTTTGGGCCTCCCGCCTCCCACGAACAGCCTGGGTGGCCCTGGGACCTGAAAGTGAAGAGTGAGTGCCACGCAGAGCCATTTGTGCAATCCCTGGGTCCAATACCCACACTCAGGCCCCACCTCCTCCAACCCCAGCCGGGTTCCCAGTACCTGGCTCCTGGACCACATAAGCCACACCACAGGAGCCGTCCTTGCGGTCCTCGAAAGAGATCTCAGCCTTGCTGGGGCCCTCGACAGCAATGGCCAGGCCTCCGGCACCAGCTTCCCGGGTCCAGATACTGAATTCGGCTGTGGGAGAACAGTGTGTCCTCACTGAAGGCTGCTCCACCAGCCTTGGCCCCCTCCAGGCATAGCCAAGGTAGACATGTCTGCCAGCTCCTTCCTCCACCCCCAACCCCACCCCGGCCAACACAGGAGAGCGAGCGCTCAGCGTGTGAGCAGGCCTACCTGGCACTCCAGCTTCAGCCCTCTCCAGGCCAGGGCCCCCAGCTCGGACCTTGTGGGCTCCCCCTTCCCCTAGGGGCCCCACGGTGAACTGGAAGGGGCTCCCAGGCACGTGCTGGCCCTTGTACTTGACGCTGACTGTGTGTGTGCCCATCTCAGCAGGAACAAAGCGGATACAGTAGGTGTGGTTCTCCCCTTCCACGATCTCGGCCTCATGGCTCTTGCCCGATGGGCTGGTCACCTGGGCTGTCATATCCTGGATGCTAATTTCTGCAGGGTGGGGATGGGCTAGTGAGCAGCAGCCCTGGGCTCCACCCCTCCTCTTGGGGC